TCTGGCCCCATGGAGAGGTTTTCCTCTCAGACAAGCACCATGAGCATGTGCCTTATAAATCTCCATGCAAGTCCCCGACCGAGACTCAGAGTAGAACAGGCCGAGCTCAGCCGTGTCCTGCCTCTGGATTGCTCCAGACTGAGGCTGACTCCCACCAATGCTCCTTGAGGACAGCATTCACGCCAGCTACCTAGCCTGTTGTGCCACATATGAACGTCTGTGTCGCTTGTCTCATTGATATTATCCAACTGCAAACGTCGCTCAGCTCAGGAAACCAGTGTAGGGGCTGTTGTGCCTGCATAGAAATAGTGGCATGCCTGCCCTCAAAGAGCTCCCATCCCCGCTGGGGAGCAAAAAGGAGCACTTGTGAGAAAACACTTAACCATACAAGGACAAGTACAGTCAACATCCAGGAGCAACACAGATCTCCAATAAACACACAAATGGACCACTGAGCGCTATTCATTCAACAAACATTTATACCAACAAATGACAACACAGATGTCCCTTTCGTGCCTGCCTGATGCCAGGCCTGGTCTGTGCCCTCTGTTACTGTCTTTAAGCCCACAACTACCCCATGAGGTTCATGTTGTTGCCCTCATTCGAGAGAGGAAACACAGTCTCAGGAAGTTTAAGGAACTTGCCAAAAGTCACACACCTAATGCTTGATATTGAGCCCCATTGGGTCCACCTCTGAGGCCCAGGATACCCTACGCTTCCCCGCAACCCACTCATGGTCCTGCCACTGGGGTTGACTTTTTCCATGAGAAACGGGCACTACCCTCAGGGAATGGCCCAAAGTTCATTCTAAGAGCAGACCCCAAGCGTGCCATCTTGGAGACCCGTGAAAAAGGAGAATGGGGCTGGCTTGGCAGAACCTCAAGTGGGGCGCTCACGCTGTAGGGTGAGGCCACCAAAGCCAGACCCAGCCAAGCCATGCTGGAGCTCAGGGACCGTGAGTGCCCCCACGTGTTCCCACGCAGCATTTACCACCTCACATATGAGGAGGAGGGCTCCCCTGTCCCCTGGGCCCAAGGAATTCCCTCAGATTAAATCATTCTTACTTCCCTTAGAACAGTGCATTCTGCAGAACCAAAGTGATGGCAATTATTCTGCCCCTCCAGGACTAAAGACGTGGAAGTCAGGCCCTGTCTTATATGTGGGTTTAGTCCCCAAGAATGGGAGCCTGCTTCTCTCTCGGTTCTGAGTGGACACCACTTCAGGGTCAGCCCAGGCCATCGGTGAGGGCACCCTGCCCAGCAGTCATCTGACAAACAGGCAGGTGTCAGTGAGACAAGCTGTCAGTCCCACTGTGGAGATGGCCACTGGATGGTGACTGTTCATAAAACTGAAGGGGAGAAAAGGACAAGGAGGCAGGTTCTGGGATGCAGGACTGTGAGCTGGGGCATCAGGAAGAGGAGCTGGAAGGGCAGTGAGGTGAGGAAGGCCAAAGCCCTGGGGAAGGAGAGTCTGGGTGAGGGAGTGAGGTGCAGACAGACTTCCTGCCAGTGACCAGCTGGCCCAGGTCACTGACGCGGTTGCAGCTGGCAGCTGGGCATCTGGCGGCTATGGAGAGCACGGGCGAGAGGATTACTTCCACAGTCCATTAGTAAGGAAAGGCATTTCTAGGGAGACAGGAACTGCCTTTTCAGGAAACAGGTTGCCAGCAGCACGATGCCAGGCCAATTCCAGGCTGGTTTTATACCATTTGTGCCCCAGTGCAAGCCCAGGATGAAGAGACACACCCAGTTGGGAGAGGACCCTATAGACTGCAGAGCAAAAGTTCTCATTTACTTCTTAGGGCTCCATCTGGGCCAAGCATCACAGCCTAAACTGCACTGATGGGAAGGCCAGGTGAGGGGATCCCCTCAGGGCACTGTGGGACCCCAGCAGACTCCTGCCCACAAGCCTGTCTGCATCACGCCTCAGACTTCAGCTGGAAGAGCTGGAGGAGAGAGAGCTCTTTGTAATTCAGTCCTATGAGGAGCATGATTCCAGCCACATTTCTTCATGAGCACCAGGCTCATCTTCAGGAATACATAACACTCCAAACTGTGACATCAGCCTGAGCAGCAGTCCCAAACCAAAGCACAGGCCCCCTCCTGGCATGCCAGTTTGGCTCAGGTTCATACTCAGAGAAGGGTCCAAGCTCCAACCAGTCTGATCTCAAATGCTCACTCGGCCTCGCAGAGGAAGACAGCCTCATCCCTGGCTCCACCCCAAGGCTATGACTTTTGAGGCAAGAGTCACAATGGGCTTTTACTCAGGCAATTCAAAAGGGACCTGATATGCAAACAGTGAAACAGTCTCAGAAAGTACCCTTTGGGGCTTCTTGTCTTCAGTGGTTGCTGAGAGCTCAGGAGTCTGCTTCTCTCAGACTGTGCTGTGGCTGAGGCTGGGGCAGCTAGGGGGATGGTGTGGGACCAAGCACACGGGCTGCAGCCCTGCCAAGGAAGGTGTAGGGCAGGGAGGAGCCAGGCTGCTGCCTAGAGCTGTTTCGGGGGTGCCTGCTTCCCGGAGAAGGTTCCAGCCTCTGAGCTTCAAGGGTCACGGGCACATCCTCTCTGAGGAAACACAGAAGGGCCTGAGGAGGCTGTGCTCAGAGCAGAGGCTGGCCTGTGAGGGGAGATGTGGGTCATGAAAAGCTGCAGGGCCAGAAAGATAAAGGAGCCTTTCTCATATCCTGGATGGAGGTGTATGAAAGGGATGTCCCCAGTGGCTAGGAAGGCCCTGGAAAGGCACAGATGGGTGGCTTACCAGCTTAGCCCTTGCATATGTCTTCGGAACCAGGGAGAACCATCAGGAAGCCCACCTGTTTGGTTTCCCAGACCCTTTGCCCAAGCGCTCAGCCTCCCTGACCATGCCTGAGCCCCTCCAGGGAAGGGGTAGCTGATGAGCCTCACTCGGCCTTTGGAAAGGCATGGGTGCCACTGTTACCTACCTCGAGGTTCCCTACAGGGTTTTTGCCAAGCTTGTTAATTTGCATAATAAAGAAAAGTGCACAGTCATTAACTGTACACCATTTTACAGCTGCTACATCTGTGTAACCACTCCCTAAGGCCAAGAATCAAAACATCTCCACATCCAGAAGCCTCCCTCTTGCCTCTTCCAGTCAGTTTCCCCTCAAAATCACCATGGCTCTGAATTCCATTACCCTGGACTAGTTATGCCTGCCTTTGAACTTCCTTAAAAAAAAAAAATCACACAGCACATGCTCTTTTGTGTTGGCTTATTTCAAAAATTTGTCTGTGAGAATCATACATGCTTTCAAATGTAGTAATTATGTGTTCATTTTTACTGCTGGATAGTACTCCATAGTATAGACATTCTTTGTTTATCCATTCCAGTGTTGATGGACATTTAAGTTATTTCTACTTTGGGGCCATCACAGCAAAGTTTCTATGAACACTTGTAAATGTCTTTGAGAATCCCTGTAAAAGTCTGCCTGAGAAAAAATTTCTACTAGCAAAAATGTCTGGGAGCATAGATTTTTTTCCCTCTTACTTCTAGACTGCACTGTAGTGGTCTTCAGGCATCAAGGTTTTTTTTTATCTTAACCAGCAGGACAGAGAAAAACACCCCCGTGGGAACTGAAGCGAATGCACAAATAGAAGCTGACAAGTTGTTAGGGAAATTGTGAATCTTACAGGTGTACTCTAGAGGGTGTGTGTGTGTGTGTGTGTGTGTGTGTGTGTGTGTGTGTGTGTGTATACTTGTTATTGTTGTGGGAGGGTTTTGCAATCTCCTAGGTAGCTTATCCAAAATAAAAGCACTGGTTCAGAATATTTAGGGAAGTGGTAGGAAATGATAAGAGATGAGGTTGGAAAAATAGATTAGGGCCAAACTGCAAAGGGCCTTGAATGCCATGCTAAAGCATTTGGACTTGATCCTGTAAACAACGGGAATCACCAGATGTGTTTAACAAACACCTGCTGGCACCCACACACTACTTGGGAGGTGTGGCAAAGCTGGCCATGTTACCTACTAAACTGAGTGGGTGGCAGGAGAGTGAAGGGCTAAGTCTAGAGCAAACAACCCGTGTTCAAGTCCCAGCTCTGCATTTATGAGCTGGGAGACCATTCCATGCCTCTGTTTGCTCATCTGTCAAGTGGGGGCATTCATAGTTTTCATGCGTTGGGGTTATTGAGAAGATCAAATGAGGAAATACTTTGAAGCGTTAGGCATACAGCAAGCCCTCAATAAGTATTAGCTGAGTGTTTCTTATGGGATGTCTCTAGTGGTTGTAAAATGACGCATGTGGTCAGTTCATGAATGTACCTACGTGGACATGCACTGATAAATGGCGCATGCACACGCACACACAAGGGAAAACGCTCCTGCACACACACAAACAGCCCATGGTGAACAGGCATTTAGAAGTCAAACGTTCTAAGATGTTCTCCACTCAGCAGCGGCCCATAACGTATTCACTAGAAACCTAGTGTTTCATGGTTACACAAAAGAGACAGAAAATTAATAGGCCTCAAATTACCTCAAACTGTCTACACTTTAGGGACTCACAGTTCAATTAACTTCCCAATAATTCAGAGTCCTAGGAAGACATTGCAAATGGCCTGGCAGTGTTTCCTTCAGCTGTGTTTGCAGCGTCAAAGAGAAGTGCTGCCTTTAGGTACGAGCTCTGCTCTTCTGGGTTTGGGGAGACAAAAGCAACAGTACTTAGGAGAATCTTAGAAAACTGGGTTCTGGGCACAGGTGTCCTGTGAGACACGGGGAAGATCCCCATGGGAGCCCTCCTTCATTGTCCACATTGTGAGATGATTTGCAGCCAGGCTGGGGACAAACCACACAAACCTGGCCAAGGCAATTCTTACAGCACTGACACTGTGGTGTGAATAAAAACACTATCTGACCTTAGGCTACTGTGGAGTGACTCTTTCTCTCTTAGGAAAGGGGGCTCCAAGGTAAGGTCACACCTAGCTTGGTGAAACAAACAACAAGGACAAAAGAAGAAGCAAGTCTGAGAGCATGGCCTTACTTACCTCCACATACAGGAGGGGGAAAATTCCAATCTTGTCTCCCAGCATTCCCTCTGCCCAGTTGTCATCCACTCTTCTGATCACAGTCAGGATTTCATCCTGGAATCGCCGGAACCCATCATGTATACAAACACGTAAACATACACACAACCAAAAAGAAAACAAGAGACCTGTTAGTGCTGTTGAAACCCAGAAAAGATTCTAAGCAATGATTCCAAGAATGGTTTATTATCTATTCTGAGACCTGACGTATGAAAAGAGTCAACCCTTACATTTTCCCTCAGGATCCTTCTCTTTCTTATGTACTGATTATGACTACAAAGATTCTCAAATGGAAAACGCATGGCAATTTACAATATACAGTAGTTTCCCCTTATCCTTGGTTTTGCTTTCCACAGTTTGAGTTACCTATGGTTAACTGCAGTCCAAAAATATCAAATAGAAAATTCTAGAAATCAGCAATCTATAAGTTTTAAATTGCATGCTATTCTGAGTAGTACCATGAAATCTCACACCATCTCACCCTGGATGTGAATCATCCCCTGGTCCGACATTGCCATGCTGTATACAAGTACTCTCCCCCTCCCTGCCCATTAGTCACTTAGTAGCTGTCCAGGTTATCAGATCGACTGCCGTGGAATCACAGTACTTGGGCCCAAATAACCCTTATTTTACTTAATAATGGCCGTAAAGTGCAAGAATAGTGATGCTGGCAATTCGGATGTGACAAAGAGAAGCCATAAAGTATATTTATGTATAGAAAAAAACACAGTATATATTGGGTTCGGTACTATCGCAGTTTCAGACATCTACTGGGGATCTTAAAATGTATATCTCCCATAGACAAGGAGGACTACTGTAGTTTTTATTTTAAAATTCACATTCCCATTATTTATTTAATGCAATAAAAATATTTTGAATAAATATAGATTTAGCTGAGTATAAAACTTTTTAAGTTTCTGGTTCCACCAAAGAACAAAAAAATGACCCAATCCAATTCCATGTATTTGGAATCGTGGGTACATAAGGCTTTGAATAGCCCTTTTAAATTCTTTGGTACACCAGACAATATCAACTATAGATGCACAAAGTGGAAACATCCAGAAAGAAAAAGGAAGAAGCATAAAGCAAGAAGGAAAAACGAGCTTTCAGGGGAGGTTGGCAGCCAGGCAGATGGTGAGGAAGAAAATGTCCAGGATGGCTTCATAGGTGCCAGAGCTACAGAAACAAATGAAGTGGGGGTATGGAATGGAGAGCGGGAGAAAGGATGGAGAAGTGATGGGGAACATAAGGGGGAAACCAGGAAGGGGCACTGGGGAAGGGAGAGACAACTCAGGCTGCAGCAAGTGTCAAGACAGCCAGACAGGGATGCCATGGGCAAAACTGGTGCCTACACCAAGGGGCCTTTGACTAGCCTCTGTTCCCTCTCCTTCAGTACACAATGTGTATCATGGAACTCCCCCAGGACTGTCTGCCTAACTACTCACCAGCCCCCACCACACCGCACCAAGACCTCCCTGCCATTCGTCCCTCAAGAGTCTGCTAGGAGACCAACTGACCTATCTGGGACGCTAATGTGCTAAGGTATTGATGGCTAAGAGAGCAGCCAAATGGGGTAACCACTATTGGATTTGAAAGCACTATCTACCTTTCCAATGAGCCTTTGTTACTTCAATGTGAAGCAATAATATGGGACTCGTAGGCCACTCTTGGGGTCAGAGGGACATTTTAGGCCAGGAGACTTCATGGAATTATCAGAGAAGCTGCTTTGTAATAAGCTGAGAGAGCACACAGTTTGGGCCTGCTCATCCAGGGCAAGGTAGGAATGAGCTAATGAGAGCTGGATATGCCTTTCAGAGAACACAGAGAGGGAAAAACACGGGTGAATGCTGTACTGGGAAGTTCCTCCAAAGTCTCTTTCAAACTTCTCCTCTCCTAGTACAGGTAGACTTTAGGGGCAAGCTCTTGTTTTCCCTGTTCTCACCCCCAATTTCCCAGCTTTAAAAAATCCAAAATAACAGAATGATTTATGACTTTAGGATGTTTCTTTTCCCAATTAATACAGGCCAGAAAAATGCAATAGACACTAAAAGGGAATCATAATTTCACATGTTATAGGGTAGATGGTTTTCAGGCTACAGGATGATATTTACAAGGGTTTCCTTCCAACAAATACTCAGCCATTAGAGTGCGTGGGCAATTCTGATAACTGTTAGGGCCAAAGTGGCTGACTGGCTTGAGGAAAGATGTACAGAGAATGCCCCTTAAATCCCACGCATTCCTCAACTCACAAATTTACAACTAGACAAGTCGTGAGACTGTGAGGAACTCAGCTCAGATTCAGCCAAAGGGAAGACCCTAAAACTTCACTGATCATGCAAAGGGAAAGGTAATTGAAGGCCTCCTATAAGTCAGAGTTTTTGCAACAGCAAAATAATACAAAAAGGACTTTTAATTTTGTACAATTAAAAATGAAAAAGAAGAAAATACTAGATTCATTTTGGTTAAAAAAAAAGAGAAATGTCAAAACACCATTATTTAAGACTGGTCTAGAAAGTAGAGCCAAAGAAATCAAAGAAAATAAAACCAAAAGTATGAATACAGGAAAGAAGAGTTTACAATTTTCTACTTAGAAAAACAGAGTATCGGCTAAATATTAGAATAAGTAAGAAATACAGAAAGGCTGCTAATTTTAAAATAAATACATAAAAATAATTGGTTTTCCCATTTACCAGCAATAACTAGTTAGAAAAGGTGATTAAAATTGGCTAACCATTAAAAAAATACAGTTAGTTCTCTAATTCACTATATATGCCAAAATTAATTCCATAAGGACTAAAGATTTAAATGTTAGAAAAATAAACTTGAATTTCCAAGAAGAAACTGTGAATAGATGTGTAATCTTGAGTTGGGGAAGATCTTTTGAAGTATGATAACAAAGATTTGGTTACAGAAAAATGAAATTCTCTATGTTAAAAACAGCAAAACCAAAACAAAAGGGTAAATAAACTAGTAAAATACTTGCAGGATATATTAGAGACAAAGACTTAATGTCTTTACTACATAAACACTTAAAGACACAGTAGAAGAAAAAGAAATACCTTAAAAGAAAAATAGGCCAAGGGCAAAAATCAGGCAACTTCCAAAACAGAAGAAAAGCTAATTGCCATTAAACACAATTAAAAATGCTATACCTTACTAATAATCAAAAAATATAATTTTAAACAAGAAGATTCCTTTTTTTCTTTTTTGTTCTCTCTTGCCTATCGAATTAGCAAAGGTTAATATAAAGCCAACTCACAGTGCTGGGCAGCATACAAGGAACAGGTACTTCATCGTTTTTGGTGGGGATATATATTTATGGCAGGCAGTTAGGCAATTGCTATCCAACATCAAAGCCTGAATACCCACTGATCTAACAACAACACTTCTAAGGATTCTACCCTAAGAAAATCAAAGAGATTTGGCACTGAGGATGTTCATTACAATGTTTGTTCAACTAGAGAAAAACTAGGGACAAATGCACAGCAAAAAAAAAGGATTAGTTCAATAAAGTATGGTATTGTCTACCAATAAATACCATATCCAATTCCAGCGCACTTTAGCCATCCTGTCCTACCTAAAGAGGAGAAGGAAAAACGGAGACACACATGTGGAGTTCACAATCTAGAGGTACAGTTTCCTTAGAAGGCTGAGACCTAATAATAGGATCATAGGAATATAGGACACTTGCTGTCTCCTCAAACCTCACCACCACATTACTAAAGGCCTATTTACGGCAATTCCTTTTACCTGGTATATCATGTCCAGCCATCAAAAAACTTATTATACATATTAAAAGGCAAAAAGCACAGTTTGGAGAGACAAAGCAAACATCAAAACCCTACTCAGACATGGCATGGATGTTGGCATTATCAGATGGGGAATTTAAAACAACTATGATGGATATGCTAAAGGCTCTAATGGCTTAAATACAGTGTGCAAGAACAGATGGGCAATGTAAGTAGAGAGATGGATATTTTAACAAAGAACCAAAAAGTAATGCTAGAGATCAAAAACACTATGGCAGAAATTTAAAAATGCCTTTGATAGAATTATCAGTAGACTGAACATGGCTGAGGAAAGAATCTCTGAGCTTAAGAAGTCTCACTAAAACCTCCAAAACTGAAAAGCAAAAAGAACAAAGGCTGGAGAAAAAAAAACCCCACAAGACAGAATATCCAAGGACTGTGGCACAAATACAAGAGGTATAATATATGCATAATGGGAATATCAGAAGGGGAAGAAAGGCAGGAACAGAAGAAATGTTTGACACAATAATGACTGAGACTTTCCCCAAATTAATGTCAGATACCAAACCATAGATCCAGGGAGTTCAGAGAACACCAAGAAAGATCAATATTAAAAAACGTACACCTAGAAATATCATTTCCAAACTATAAGAAATCAAAGATAAAGAAAAAATACTGAAAGAAGCCAAATTGGAAAAAAACACATACCTAAATAGAAGCAAACCAACTTCTCAGAAACCATGCGAGTAAGAAGGGAATGGAGTAAAATATTTAATGTGTTGGGAAAAAAACCCCCATCAACTTAGAATTCTGCACCTTTCAATAGTGAGGGGGAAATACTTTCTCAGGCAAACAAAAATTGAGGAATTTGTTGCTAGTGGATCTGTCTTGTAAAAAATGTTAAAAGTTCTTTAGAGAGAAGGAAAGTTATATAGGTCAAAAACTTAAACCTACACAAAGAAAGGAAGAACACTGGAAAAGGAATAAGTAGAGTAAAATAGAAAACTTTCATTTTTCTTAATCTTGATCTAACAGATACTAGTTTGTTCAAAATAATGATAGCTACAATGTATTTGATTGTTATCTGTATGTAAATATCACATATTATATATCACACATATTATAAATATACTTACACATGTTTCTATATCATTGCTGTGATACAAGGGACAGGAGGGAAGAATTAGGGTTATTTTGTTATTATAAGGTACTTGCACTACCTGTGTAAGAGTACAGTGTTATTTGAAAGTGGACTTGAATTCGTTGTAAATGTATATTGCAAACTCTAGGGTAACCACTAGGAAAAAA